CCGAGTGCGGAGCCCGGGCCTGGGGAGCGCGGCAGCGCCCTGCGGGAGTTTGCGGGTGGGACGAGCTTTGGCTCCGAACAGCCGGCCGCTTTCCCAGGACCCTCGGGCGCCTACGAGGAGACCACCCTGTGAGGGGCCGGAGGCCAACGAGGCGCACCCACTGGGCGGCTTGTGCGGAGGCCGCGGGGCGGGGGTTCTGAGGTCAAAACCTGGCTGCGGTGCCTTCCCCTCAGTCCCCACCCTACGGCCTTGGGGCTGCCCTCCCGCCCTGGCCCTAGAAAGGGTTGGGGCGCCCGAGGTGGCATGGCGGTGTGGGGGGCTCCAAAAGAGAAGAGCAGTGGGCGAAGGAGGAAAGGGCAGGGAGTGGCCACCCTGAGGACTGCGGCCTCCCCGAGGCTATGCTGAGGCCAAGCAGTGGCTACGGCAGGCAGTGGTATTTTACCCCATTAGACGTGGGTGTGGCTTATGAGTTTTACAGCGAGGGAGGGGAAGCCCTTGGGTGAGGGGGAGGATACGGTAGTCGAGGGCAGAGCTGACATCTGGGTCGCCGGTGGGTTTGGCTAACTACTTCATCCCATTCCTCAGTGGACGGTTTCAGGGACCCTCAGGTTATCTGACAGTGTCCAGGATGTGTTCAGAGTTGCGCGCGTGGCTGATGGAAGCCTGGTAGGTCCCCCGAAAGAGGATTTTCTGCCTCTCCGGGGGACAGAGAAAGGGCTGGGAAAGCTTTTATTGTTATTGTCCACTGTATTTATTTCCACCTCTTGTATGGCCTGAAGAATCTGGGAGGAGGAGAAAAAGCCAGAAAACAAATCTGTAGCGCCGGGCAGATGGGTTGCAGGTGCTTCAGTGCCCCAAATGAGTTTGAAGCCTTATTGTCAGGAGTCACTCACTCCTCACCCCGCTTGAGCCCTGGGACCAGCCAGGTGCTGGTTATACCGGCTCGATTTTAGTCTGGGCTCCTTAGGCGCTTTGGTCCTCTGACCTCTGGGGGCTGGAGGGCACACAATGAGACCTTTGGGAAACAGATGGACACGTGGAGGCCGCCCTTTTGTGCCCCGCGCTTTAGAGTTAATAACTGAGTTTAAAGGGCTGAGGCTGGTCACAGGATTTTTCCCCACATTCCATAATTAGGGCCCCACGACTTCTACAAGTCCACTTCAGTCTGCTTTTGCCGTTATTCTATCGTGTTTCTCTTTAGATGCCCACCATACAGGGTGGAAGACGGAGACCCAGGCGCCTCGTACTGGTGGCGCCTCGGGAGTGTGACCCGAGCCCATGCGCAGTAACCAAACGGAGCCCCCAGCTATGCAAGGCCCCGCCTGCTGGGCACCCCACCCTCTGTGCGGCCGTTGGGAGCCACTGGTAGGCAGCTGAGGCGGGGTCATGTGAGACCCCTCCCTTCCTACTTTTTGCAGGTCCAGAAACAGTTTTAGACCTAGTTCCTTCTGTTTTAGTGTAGACAGGACCTTGGGGGCTGAGAGCCAGCAGCCAGGCTGCAGGGGCTGGGGGCGGGTAGGAGGCTCGGTAGTGGTGGGTGGGAGTGGGCCTGGGTGGTGGTGGTAAGGATTAGCAGTGCTGGGTGAGGTTGTGGTGTGGGTGGGTGGTGAGGAGGGCAGGGGCCCAGGAGACAGTGGGGGCGGTGGGTGATACCCTCTCCGCTCCAAAAGATTTCCACCTTTGTTCCTGAACCAGTTTCTCAAGTCTCGGAGTGGGACAGAAGCCTCAGAAAGGGCCAAGGGGAAGGGGGGCTGGGTGGGCCAGGGTCTGGCGACCTTGGGTCTGGCCCTGCACTCATGCCTCTGGCACGCCCCGAGTGCATGCCCTCGATGCCCCTCTCAGGCCCAGCTGCTTCTGCCCTGCTGCTGTGGGCAGGAGGACCTAGCTTTAATAAAGAGTGGAGAAACGAGCTTTGTGACTGGATTCCTTGTTGCCGCTCTTCCTCGGTGCCCACCTGCCCTGGATGCTGTGCAAGGCCTCAGGCCCTGTTACCATGTTTCTGCTAACACTGCAGGGCTAGGATGGCCCAGGAGGAGTCAGGCACAAGACAAGCTTTGGCCCCATGCTGCCTGTGTCCCCCAGGTATTACTGGGAGTCCCCAAAGTGTCCCCACACTGCCATGTGCTCCTGTAATACTTGCACCTGTCTTGGGACCTTACGGTGTTTGGAATCGTTTAGCCAACCTTCCCTGTGCTAGAGGAGGGGGTGGGTCCCGGTGGTCCAGGTGTGTGCCTGGGTCACAGACCTTTCCCCTGAGGCTCCAACGCCTTTTGGGTTTATCCAGGGCTCACCTGCTCCCAACCCAGGGCAAAGAGCAAATCCCTCAATGCCCCCAAAACCTACCTTTAAACCGACTTGCTGGCCTTTTTATTCTCACCATGCCCTGCGATCAGATACAACCCTCCCAGCCTTTCTGCGTGGAATTGAGAGACATGAACTATGAAGTAAATGCTCCTTTCAAATGTCACTTGAAAGCATCAGAGCAGAGCAACCCAATCTTTCAGTTTTTTGTTTTTTTTTAAAGGGACTCTGGAGTGACAGACAGATGTTAAGGCCTAGTTTAAAGATGGTCAGCCCTAAGGATCTTAAAGTCTATCCAGAAAAGCTAAATTATTCCCAGATCTTATGATTCTCTAGCCAAATACTTTTTTATTTTAGAGGGGGAAGAAAAAATAAACAAACAAACCCTGGTGGTCAGAGAAAAAAAAGTAGACACACTTCCTAGTTTTGAGAGGTCTTTCAAATTTCTGGAGTCCTGATTCATTCTGCAAATGTCTCGTTTAGCTCCTCCTGTCATTGCCAAGAGGAGCTCTGGCGGTGCAGTGGTTAAGCTTTCGGCTGCTAACCAAAAGGTCAGTGATTCAAACCCATCAGCTGCTCTGCTGGAGAAAGATGTGGCAGTCTGCTCCAGTAAACATTACAGCCTTGGAAACCCTATGGGGCAGTTCTACTCTGTCCTGTAGGGTCACTATGAGCTGGAATCAACACGACATCAGTGGGTATTATTGCCAAGGAGGAATGAAAGCCCCAGGAACCTGCCTGTGAAATGTGGCCTGTGGAAGGTGGTAGTTGGAGAGTCACAGGACCTGAGCCTCCCTCTCCCCTCCCCCTCCCTTTGTCATTTTCCTGTTTCTGTCTTGCCCCTGTTAAAAATAATCAAAACACAAAGAAATTGAACTACAACGTTTATTCTAAGCGGTTATTCTATATGCATATACAAAAACAACAACAACAACAGTGTTACTACCTCATTCATTTTACACTACTCCATAGCAATTTCATTCCTTGGATGTACCACAATTTATGTAACTAACCAAAAAACCAAGCCAGTTGCTGGCAAGTCGGCTCTGACTCATGGTGACCCCATGTGTACAACTGTGCCCCCATAGAGTTTTCAATGACTGTGATCTTTCAGAAGCAGATCACCAGGCTGTTCTTCTGGTTGCCTCTGGGTGGACTCAAAATGCCGACCTTTGCGTTAGCAGCTGAGCTCCACCATTTGTACCACCCAGGGACCCAATTTAAGTAACTGCTCCTCTGTTAATGTGTATTTGGTTGTTTCCAACTTTTCACTGCTACAAACAATCCTGCAAGATGTATGTTATCTTGTACAGACATCTTTGTGCAGTTATGGAGATTCTTAATAATATCTGTTTATATAGGATAAAGTGGTGTTACTGGGTCAAAGAGCATGCATATTTAAAATTTTGGGTATAGCTAAATCACTACCAAGAACGATAACTCAAGTCCTGTAACATATGCTCCCCATACAGTGAGAGAGAGAGAGCACTAGGGTTCCTCAGCCTCGCCAGCTCTGGGCACAAACAGTCATTTTTCTCTTTGATTTGTTCTTCGTTTTACAAACAGGTGAAGGGCTTACATTTCTCTGTTTCTTTTTGACATGTAAATAAGTTATTTTAAAAACTCGTAGTCTTTGCTTAGCCATTTCTGTGGCTGCAGATATAAAATATCCCCACTGGGTCTGAATTAGCATCTCTCAGATTATGGGTCTTCCACTGTTCCTGTGTTTCCTCCATAGCCCTTCCCACAGTTCCAAAAGAGACCTGGAACCAACCAACCAAACACACAAAATAAGAACAACAAAAAAATCAAACAGTAGACGGTCACAGTTCTCATTTAATCCTCATAACAAGTCTATTAACATTACTCCCGTTTTGCGGGTGAGGAAACTGAGACAGAGGTTAAGTGACAGACCCAAAGTTTGCCACGATTCAAGCCCAGGAAGTCTGGCTCTAGAGTGTGTATTTAACCCTTGTGGGAGCTGGAGTTGATGGACAGAATAGTGGACTCTTTCCAAAGCAGAACACCCCTTTCTTGAGGGGTAACTTTTCCACATGGCTTTGTCCACAAAAAAAAGTGTGCATCTGGCCAGGCCCGGCCAGAACACCCCAATGATTAGCCTAGGCACGAGCACGTGACCTCAGCAGAGCAATCTGATTAGTTTCTAGCATTTTTAATCAGTGTTATGGGGAAAGATGTTATGAGGGGGTTACTAGGTTGGTAGAACGTGCTTTTAGCAGGCACCACACCTGCCACATAGAGAAAGCCTGTCTGAGATATGCAGAGAGGTATTGATGACATTGCTTCCGTCACTGGATATAGCTATGCCTGAAGCCCCTCATGAGTAACATCTCGTTCTTAACTCAGTGGAGTTGGTTTACTATCACTTGCAACAGATAGAGGCCTGGCCGGTACAGGAGTATCAGGAGTCTTCATAATGAAAGAGATTAAGCGGAGATTCAATACTCACATTTATAAGTTTGGAGGGACAAGTGTCCAGGTAAGTGTGGGGCCTTAATGAGGACACCTAGCCTGCCCAACACGGGGTGTGCGCTCAGCGTACCCATGTGCATTTCTGAAGTTGCTCCCAGAGGGAGACTGTACGAAGACCAGCCTATTGCCAGTGCATGTGTGACAGTCACCTGCAGAGGGCCTGCAACAAGACTGTGCTTGCTGCAGAGTGGCTGTGGGTGGTGGTGGAGGAAGAGGGTTAGACGTTATCTCTTGTCCTTTGTTTGAGTTCCAACTGCTGTGTTACAAACTACACTAAAACTAGTGATTTTAAATAAGCACCATAGTAAGTAAACACAAGTAAGCCCCAGTGTATTGTTGATGAGTGAAAAACTTATAGTCCAAGTTGAATAAATAATAAATAAAGAGGTTTATTAAAGGCTTGAGACAGTTTGAACATGGTAAAGCCCAAGTATAGGGTGAATCATCAGACTTTTTCCTTAAATAAGCTGATCCTCCACATAAAAAGACATATCCATATGGGGCACACAACATACCTGCCCCGGTTTGAATATTAGGAAATGGAATGGACTGACTGGCCCTTTTAAGCCAGTTTGCAGTTAATGAATTATCACAAACGGATAATTCTCCAAATTCTAGGGGATCCCGGAGTTGGGCACAAATGGAGAGATTTTGATTTTTTTTTTTTTTTATTGTACTTTAGATGAAGGTTTACAGAACAAATAGTTTCTCATTAAGCAGTCAGTACACATTTTGTTTTATGACATTGATTAACAACCCCATAACATGTCAACACTCTCCCTTCTTGACCTTGGAGGACCTTTTTTTTTGGTGAAAATGTACATAGCCAAAGTTACACCATTTCAAAACTTTCTACATGTACAATTCAGTGACATCGATTACCTTCTTCCAGTTGTGCTACTATTCTCACTATCCTTTTCCAAATTATTCCATCACCATTATCTTCAACTCGCTGTCTCCTAGGCTTCCCATCAAACCTTTAGAGTTGCTCTTGTCAATTTGATCTCACATAGATAATTCTTCAAATAGTTTCTCATTAAACAGTTAGTACACATATTGCCCTATGACAATGGTTAACAACCCCACGACATGTCAACACTGTCCCTTCTCAACCCTGGGTTCCCTATCACCAGCTTTCCTGTCCCCTCCTGCCTTCTAGTCCTTGTCCCTGGACTTCTGTGCCTCATTAGTCCCGTTCTGTTTTATAAGGCTGTCCAACATCTGGCTGAACAGTGAACTTCGGGAGTAAATTCACCACTGAGCTAAAAGGGTGTCCAGGGGCCATACTCTCGGGGTTTCTCCAGTCTGTCAGGCCGGTAAATCTGGTC